AGCGGCAGTGTCGCGGTAATTTGCGCTTGCGCGCGGGATTATGAGCGCCGATGCCGCCCGCGCCAACGTCACCATCATTTGGGGCCCATCGCGCTCGAACCGCCGAGCCCGACCCCCGCCCCCCCTCCCCCTGACCGCCGAGCATTGGATCCAACGCGCGGCCCCCGAAGCCTCCGAGCCACCAGCCATGGGCCACCGACCGCACATTGCGTGGCACTCGCAGCGAAGGCGTATTGCAGCGACCTCGCTAACCCAGCCAACCAGCTTGAGCTGCAGCGCCTTGGTTTCCGAATCTGAAGCCCTGCGCCTCCCGCAGTCGGCAATGGGCCGCGGGTTCCTTCGCCTTCGCAGAACGGCAGCTACCCCTGGGCTTGGGCCAGCGACTGTAGACGTGACGCCGATGCGCGCAGTAACCGTCTGCATGTGCGCACTGCGCGTGTTGAGGTTGAGCGCGTCCGTGAGGCTCCCTTCCATTCGCCACCGCGAAGGCGAAGTCGTCTGCGAGGCACCGACGCTGGCGGGCCGCCTGGCAATGGCGGAGGAGAAGAAGTGAACGATGAATGGCGAGGGTGAGAGAAGCAGGATGCGTAAACAGCGCAAACATGCAATTATCCGCGACAAAGCTGATCCGCGGTATCGTACATGCACACAGACACGGGGGCTTGTCAACAGACAGCGTCGTCGATGTAGTAGTAGTGGTAGTAACGATGATCGTAGTCGTAGTAGTAGTAGAAGAATCACTAGTAGAAGAAGAAGGCGTAGTAGTAGTAATCTGGTAGCAGCAGCAGCGGCAGTAGTAGTAGTAGTAGTAGTAGTAGTAGTAGTAAGCGCTGCAGAGAGCAGTAGGCGTAGACGTAGTAGTTGCAGTAGTAACACCACCACTAGTAGCAGCCGCAATGGAAGTACCATTAACAATAGGAGAAGCAACGCTATCAGGGTTATTGGCAACAGTAGTCGTAATAGTGAGTGTGTCAGCGTAACAACAGAAGTCGTATTCGTATTGTTATGAGTACAACAAGTCCTAAATACGTCTACTTCTATATCAACAGTATAGTAGCAGAATTAGTACTCGTAGTATAATGAATACGGCTACTTCTACTACTACTACTACTGCTACTACTACTACTACTACTAATATTACTACTACTACAACTACTACTACTGCTGCTAATACTACTCCTGCTATTATTACAACTACGAAAAGTGGTATTAATACTTGATACGAATGTTACAGTGATTGCTGTTGGTATTACTACCACTACGACTACTACTACTACTACTACTACTGCTACTACTACTACTACTACTACTATTACTACTACTGATACTACGAATACTGCTACTACTTCTACTAGTACCACTACAACAACAACAACTCCTAGTACTACTACCATTACTATTACTATTACTACTACAATATCAGCTCTTGCTACACTTCTCATTACGAGCGCTACGATTAAAGCCTTGTGTGCTAAGAATTACAGCGCTACAGCGATTTCGTTTAGTACGGTCCACTGCTACTGTTACTACTATGAGTACTACTACTACTACGTGTACTGCTACTACTACGAACACTACTGCTGCTGATCCTACTGCTATCATTGCAACTGTTACTGGAACGAGTATATCACAACAACAACTATTTTGATACAGAGGACTACTGCTACTATTACTACTACTGCTATTGCTGCTGCTACTACTACTACTACTACAACTACGACTGCTACTACTTACGCTATGCTTCTCATAGCTATCGCTACTTGCAGTACGACTAGTACCACTCCTACTACTACATCTACATCTACATCTACTACTACTACTACTGCTACTACTACTGCTACTACTACTACTACTGTTACTACTACTACTACTACTACTGTTACTGCTACTACTATTATGGCTACTTTCACTACTACTACCACCACCACTACTACTACTACTACTACTACTACTACTACTACTACTACTACTACTACTACTGCTACTGCTACTACTACTACTACTACTACTACTACTACTACTCATTCGTCTTCGCCTTCTTTTGCTTATACTGCTACTGTTACTGCTACTGCTACTACTACTATTACTGCTGTTCCTATCGGTAGAGTTACTCTTACAACACGTGCGACTGCTCTTCCGATTTTTGTTATTATTATTTCCTATACAAGTACTACTGCTACTGCTATCACTACGCTTGGGGGATGGGATTTGTCCAACCAGAGGAGGAGGAGGATGAGGAAGAAGTGCACGAGTCCGACGGTAAGTATGAGGGCCTCGAAATGTTTATTTGGTATCGGTTGATGATTTCGTTGGATCCTTTTGTAAAGTGTGTGACATATTAATGCTCATTGGAACCCTCCGTTTCTCTATGATATGGTTTGTTTGGGCGTTCTTTGGGTATTGTCTCTGTGCTCTTGTAGGCTCTTCAAGGAGGGTGCCTTTTGTCTTGCACCTGCCATTCTCTGGTCTAGGAGCTGGCTAAGGAACCCATGGCCTCGCTTCCATGTTGGTTCTGTTTGGGGTCTTCGCCATCGCCTTACTCACTGTTTGGTATTCAGCACTGATTGGGGTCCACGCTTCCTGCCTTACACATCTTTCGGGGTCCACGTCAACACTGTTTTGGCCCACGCGATTGCCATCTCACTACTTCGTGCGACCAGGGTTTTCAATGTTTTGACTTCCATGCCGAGGCGCATGGCAATATCAGTTCGTCCAGGCTCCAGCTCTCGAGCTGGTCACAGTCACGCGCGAGCTCTGCCACTGCGTACGCATCCTCCTTCTCCTCCTCCTCCTGCTCTTCGTTCTCATCCTCCTCCTCATCTTCGTCGTTTTCCTCCTCGTCACCGCTTCCTCATCCTCGTCCTCCTCCTCGTCTTCCTCCTCCTCGTCACTTCCTCCTTCGCTTCCTTCTCCCCTCATCTTCCTCCTCGTCCTCCTCCTCATTCAGCTCTTCATCCTCATCCTCCTCTTGTTCCTCCTCATCTTCCTCATCCCCATCTAAGCTCGCCAGTGGCAGACTCTCAAGCAAATCTAACCACACTGAGGCTGTGGCGGCTAGGCTTTGGGCTTGGCCTTCGCTTTGGCCTTGCCCTTGGGCGCTCCAAACTTAGCCCTGCCAGAACGCATGTGCGTCTGAGCTAAAACCTTGTTGTCGGCTGCAGGGGCACCTGGAGGCGTTGGCTCCATCTCGTAAACCCACCGAAAAATATCCTCGTTGGTGCCACACCACGCCTCTCCTACGCAAATACTGCAACCCCGATGCCTGTAACAGGTGATTGTTACTGACTTAGCAGGTGCACGCCTTTGGATTCTACAAATCTGCCGACCTCTCAAATAGAAATACCCCTGAGCAGTCATAGGTTCAAAGTCCCTCCATGGCTCTAGTGGTGGTGGTGGTGGGGGGGGTGGCTCTGCTGGCCCCGCAGCAGGAGCAGGGTCACTGAGGAGATGGTCAGTCGATGACCCAGATGCATCTGCAACAGCCTCCTTTACTATCTCCTTAGATGCTTCAGCGATGGCCTGAAGGGTTTCGTCCTCCAGAAGGTCCTCATCAGCACGAGGCTTGACTTCACGATCATCTGGTGCAACTGGTGGAGGATGATCGCCGAGAGGTTGTGGAGGCCCCGCGTGGTACACATCCATGAAGGCATGGTCGAGCTCTTCCACGGACGTAATCGTCGAGGCATCGTCCACGTCAGCAAGGTCGAACTCCCTCTCCACTTCCACCAGTTCTGCGCCAACGTCTGGTTCACCAAGCTCGGGATCGTGGGCATCTGGATCTGGTGCGGGGATGCCTCCACCATGGGCGCCGCGACCTCTGCCTCCGCCACGGCCTCTGCCACGGCCGCTGCCGCTGCCGCCACGGCCTGTGCCACGGCCTCTGCCACGGCTGGCAGCTTTGAGCTCCTTGTCCGCCTGCTGCCGCGCCTCATCGCCCATAGGGTCGTCATCTCGCATCTTCGGGCCCTGCTGCTTGCCAGTGCGGAACTGAAGTGGCTTCGTCATGCCCGCGGTCCACACGCAGCCGATGTTCTGCAAGCCCGTGATCTTGGACCGCCGCAAAGTGCCAGTGTCGAACATGACGTCGTAGGCCGCCGCAAACGCTTGCATCGAGACGAGATTCTCAACGAGCGTAGCTATCCACTCGTCCGACGTGGCCGAATTGATCGCCATGAAGTTGCTACTGACCTTGTTCGGCCGATCCGATATGTTAACGAAGCACGGCAAGTGGAGATCCTGTCGTCCACGTTGGGCTATTCAAGAAGTTAAACCACCCCCCCACGCAAGGAGGAGGAGGAGGAGGAGGATGAAGGGGGCGAGGAAGGGAGGGATAGTGCTCTGGGAGGAGGTGGAGGAGGAGCAGCAGCAGCAGCAGTAGGAGGAGCAGGACGATCAGGAGGATGAGGAGGAGGAGCAGAAGGAGAAGGAGGAATTGGGTACGTGCCGCAAACGATCTCCCTTAGGAAAAGTTAAGGTGGTGATGAGGAGGAGGAGGGGGGGGCGGGAGGGCAGGAGCTGAGGGGAGGAGGGGGAGGATGGAGGGAAGGAGGAGATGATGACCATGATGAGGTGGAGGACGAACACCTGACGACTGGGGTGCTCCGCCTCCTCCTCATCATGATCATCTCCTCATCCTCCTCCTATACTTCCTCCTCATCCTCCAATCTTCTCCCCCCACGCTTCCCCCCACCGGGCTCAGTCTCTCCCTCCTCCTCCTCCTCCTCCTCCTCCTCCTCCTCCTCCTCCACTTCCTCATCCTCCTCCTACTCCTCCTCCTCCCTATTCTCCTCTTCCTCCTCCTTCCTTCCCCCTCCGCCTCCTTCTCTTCTCCATCCTCCTGCTCCTCCCCTTGCTCATCCTCTTCCTCCTGCGCCTCCTCATCCTGCTCCTCCTCCTCCTCCTCCTCCTTCTCTCTGCTCCTCATCCCCTCCTCCCCCTTCTCCTTGCGTGGGGAGATGGTTTCGCTGAAGGGCCCAATGTGAACAGTCCTCTGAGACTGCGTTCGCGCAGTCCTCGAAATCGTTGATGGTCACGTCGAACACCTGCGGGTTCAGCGTCACGTCCGTCACCAAGACCGCGTACCGCTTGTGGCCGCCTCCAACCGCTGGCCCAGCAATGACGATCATGACGTCAGCTGGATCCGATGTGCCACGACCAGCCCCGACCGAGGCCAAGTAGTTCCAGACGCTCTTCTCCACGAAGTAGAACGCAGCAGGGCACCTCGACGCAGCTCTGTCTGCATTGCGTGCAGAGCGAGCCACGCCCCAAGGATCGTAACCAGCGCTCTCGTTCACGTCCAAGTCGGCGGTAGGGGGCACGCTCCTCTCTTCAAGGTTCTTGTCAAGCATGTCGTTCAAGGTGGGCCAGCCGAACTCCTCGATCTCAGCGCACATCTCTTCTGGAGTAACTGGCGCACCGTGGCACCCACCTCCCCAGCACAACGAATACTTCGGAGGCGCAGGAGGTCGCTCGTCGTTGTCCCGCCTTTGTCGCCACAACTGGTATGCCTCCGCGTAAACGTCCAGGTCCGACTCCATCCAGATCTGCTTGAAGGCTGCCGAATGCTGTTCCACCTCCTCTGCGGTGAGGCTTGCCCCTTTCGCCGATCTGGCTGCCTGTAGGTACTTGTTCTTCTCAAGGAGGTACGGGTTCAAGCCCTTCTTCGACTTGGCGCTGCTGTCGTCGCCCTGCGTGAGCGCGTGCGGCGGCAACATCGGGTTCGGCCTCTGCTCTGAAATTGGCTCCACGAAGTTGGCATGGAAGATCCCAGGCTCCGCAACAACGAGCTGTTGTTCTGCATCCACAGGCGCATCCTCGAGGGCAGGTCGGCATGCATCTCCTCGTGCGTCTGGCGCTGGTCCTCCTGCAGGCTGAACTCCAGCAGAGCCCAGCGCAAGCGGCGAACAAGTAACCACCTCCTCGCGAGCAATGTTGCAAATAGAATCCATTGAAAGCGGGTCCATTCCACCGTGCTTCTTGTGAATAGCATTCAACTGACCGAGGAGATGTTCCCGCGATGAGTTTACTGATTTTTTTCCTGGTGCGCGGGCTGTATGTCGAGTAGTGTACTCTGAGTTGAGGCGCTCCACCTGGTCTGTCCCATAGCAATGAGCTCGAAAATCACTCTCCAAGACAACTCGGCAAGCCTTTGAAGTTAATGCCTCTGGCGTGGGCCACAGCCGACGGATGCCGATCGTGTAGCAGTCGACCATGTAGTTGTTGACGGCCAGGGCTTCGCGGGCAATCGCATTCTTCTCCTCCTCGGTCGACCTTCCGTGAGACAATGCATAAAGTTTGTAAGGCCATGTGGCGAACCTGACCTCGTATCTCCTCGACATGATGGAATTCATTTTTAGGGCCTGACCTCTCGACCATTTGGCGAACTCCTGGTTGGTAAGCGGCGCACCGAGGATATCTAGTAAGACCCAGTGGCCACGAGTTGGGTCCCCAGAGTTCCAGTTGTCAATCAGTCGAAGCATGTTCTCGCTGAACGCGCCAATCCTGGAAGAGTCCTTGTCGAGGAGGACGTCCATCTTGCTCTTATCACCTTCCGCATCTCGCATAGCGTCGCCAAGAACTGGATAAAGAAGGTTCGAGTCAGTTGCTTCCAATACACTAGTGTAAATCACAAGTTCGTTCATCACACGATCAGACTCGTAGTATTCTTTCACCTTCTTGCGGCGAACACGATTGAGGTGAGACCAAAATTCCTGCGCCCCTTCCTCGTCTACGCTGACGTTTGCCGCCGTGGTGTCGTCGATGTCCTCTGGAGTCACGGAGCCCGTGTAACAGTCCAGGCCGATGCGATGCAGGAGACGGCGGATGAGTGTTCGTTTAAAGCTTTGTAGTAAATGTGTCCATCGGCTTTCCGCTGGTCGCGGGTCTGATGACCCATGGAAAGCGTGGACAACCGCTGTCATCATTTTCTCGACCGCTTGCTTCCTGGATGTGCAGCAGGCCCTGCCTGTAGCGCAGTCCCAGCAGTGATGCACAAATGCTTTGTTGGAGAGGCTTCCGTTGGCCATCTTCGCAAGCTCCCTGAGGTCTGCAACCAATTGTGACTCGTACTGGCCGCCATTGCTCGTGGTCCGCTTGTGGTGGTCAGCCTCAAGGTCGTACAGGAGGTCCACAACGCGCTCCATGGTGTGCGCCCACGGCGGAGGAGGGCCCACCTCACGAACCAATTTGGCTTCAATGAGACGCTCGATCTGCGCAATGTTCTTGGAAAGCTGCCCTCGCAACCTGAAAACTGAAGATATCGAGTAGTGCCTCATCGTATGGCTGCGCAATCCCTTGATCTTGAGTTTGCCCCTATGGTGGGCGTGCACACCGCAAGTGTCGGGAAAATACAGAAGTTTTTTCCCTAGCACGGGGTTCTCCAAGTAGATCTTGTTCTCAGCCTCGTGCCCCCACGTTCGTATCATGACAACGTTGGCGCTGGCCCTGTCGCACATGGGCGCAAACGTTAAGCTAGAGACGCTGGCCAATGCCTCGTACAAAGCTGGCCTGTTCAAGATGTCGAATGCTGCTGGTACTCCTCGTCGGACTCCTGGTAGTAGATCGCGTGCGGTCGTGCCGTGGACCTCGAGTGGTTGCGTCAGGAAGTATTCTTGGTATTGCCGATGCTGGTCGTGAGCGTGGTCGTACAATGTGAGGTTCATCGTGCTGCGCTGTATCAACGTCGGCATGCTCATATTCTTCCGTAGTGTTCGGTATCGTTCCGATGGTTTCCAACTCTGCTTTACCTCCACCTCGTCCCACATGTGCCCGACCGCGACGTGCACCGTGCGCTGAGGCCCTCCACCGTTGCTCAAAGACGCCGAGCTCTTCCGCAAACAATGCTGGACTGCACGCATCTGTCTGCGAAGCACGTACCTCGTGGCAGCCAGTTGGAGGCGACGATGGTCCACGCCGATGTTAACCCTCTGCTTAGCCCTCAAGAACACTGCCTTCACAGCCAATTGGAAATCAGGCGCCTGTCGAAGCCCAAACCCATGCGCTCCAGCCACCCATTGGCATCGTCTCCCCAAGGAGCCTCAGGACCCCCTCCCCACACTAGGCACTCAGGACCCTCAGGACCCTCCCCATGTACCCTCAGGACCCTCCCCCAACGGAACCTCAGGGCCCCACCCCCGCCCTCGGGCGTTTGCTGGAGCAAGGGTTTGAGCTTCCACCGACTGCCTTGAGCTTCCGCTTTCTCCCCAAGGTTGATGTGCAAGACGTCCCTGGGAGAAGTCTGGCAGCTGGGATCAGGGCTTGGACGTTCCTGATCGCGGCGTCATGCGCCGCCGACTGGCCCTTCCAACGGTGGGGGCTGCACGTGCTGCGACGTCGAGGCCCTTCGCCAATCCACTCACCGACCGATGCGCGCCATGCGTTCGGTCAGCAAGCGAAGAGGAGAAGTGGCCACTAACGCGAGCTCTTGCAACCCCCACCCCCTTATGACCTTCAGCTTCTGGCTGCTGGTCTTCGCACGCTTCCTGTACAAGGCCTCCCTCGCGTTGGCGATGTGGAGGGCGGAGTTCTTCTCGAACTTCCTCTTCGGCACGAGGGCGGCGGCGTCGAGCTCGCCGAACTGGTCCAGACCATCGACCTGCATCTCCTCTGCGACGGGGGGGGCTGCATCTGCGACGTCGCCGATGAAGCCTGCAGGATCCTCTGCGACGGGGGGGGCAGCATCTGCGTCGCCGATGAAGCCTGCAGGAATCTCGAGACCGTCGAGGGCCTCGTCTAAGTCCATGCCTGCGCCGATATCGAGCAAGCCGCTGCTGTGTAGTGTGTCCAAACGAGCGTCGTCGCTGCTGTTGAACTGATATGGAGAGGTGAAGCCGTCGTCGAAGACGCAACCACCAGAAGAATATGGAACGGCCTTGGGGGCCTGTGATATGTAGTGTGTCCAAGCGAGCGTCGCTGCTGCACTGAACTCGATATGGAGAGGTGAAGCCGTCGAAGCAGCAACAACCAGAAGAATATGGAGGGCCACACCGAACAGTGTAGGCAAAATCACAGCATCTGAAGATTGATCTCTCGAGGACCTTGTCCAAAGCCGCTGTTTGAGCCAGAACGGTTTCGAGAAACACAACAACAACGAAAGATCGAGATTGCCCTCAGGGTCATTGTTTGACCAGAACACACACAATGAATACTTCTCTCCTCTCTCATAGACAAGCGGTAGCCCCCGCTACATAACATGGGTTCCATGGACTCATGATGACCTAAGAACGGCGTGGGCTACGGACCCGTGCCCGTTCTCGCGGGCCCCTGGCGTGCCAGAACCATCCGCGGAGTTCCCGAGACCCTATCACGTGACTACAAAAAAATCAGAGCAGTTGTTCGACTGTTCCTCTTCCTCTCCTCATCCTCCTTTCTCCTAGCCCTCCTCACGATCCTCTTTTTCCCTTCCTGCTGGTCGATATTATCATCCTGTCTGACTCTTTCCTCTTTGCGTTGCTTCCGTATCTGTGCTCCGTTACTTGCTTCGTATCATCACGGTGCGTCTCCTGTCCTTTGGCCCGAAGAAACCTAGATGCCCATTAGGGAGGGGAGGACAAGGGTACTGGCAGGACGGCGGGGTGCGAGGATATTCGGGGTGAGTTTTTGTTGGCAGGGGGGGATGCGCACACGGATCGTCCTTACAATCCAAACGACCAAAGTATGCTTGTGCGTCGAGACATACATCCGTAAGGCCAGGCGTCTCTCTGCGCCTTCCAACGGGATTCGTGTTGACCTGAGATTCGGCGGACCAAGACGAAGCGAAAACACAACTGAAAACACAAGTGTCGCCGCCTGTTTGGGGGGGTCTACAGTCGGGGGCCGTACCAGCCCCCCACATGGACTCAAGAGTGAACACCGTTGTGTTCGCAGTGCTCGAACAGGAGGGCGACGACGCTGCTGGCCACCCCGCAGGCAAAAGGTGTGGGCCACCTGTGCTGGGGCGCCCCGACCGGCACAGCTCCGGTGTGGTCCAGGGAAGACATCCTCGGTGGAGGTGGCATGGTGGTGTTTGAAGGGGCCCCAAGACACGCAAATAAATACACACAAATAAAACGATTCCCCACATGTTCCTATATTTTTGCGGCTTTTGTCTTCCCCCCCCCACTTCCCATATGTTCGCATAATCCAATAGCCCTTATAACTGCGACGAGGCGACGATCGAAAGCAGTGCCCCGGCACTGCTTTGAACGCGTTCAAAGCAGTGCCCCGGCACTGCTTTGAACGTATGATATGATGATATGATGATGATTATGATTGATGATGATGATGATTTTTCCAGCGTACACTGTCCGCAACTGCGGCAATCAACATCATGCTCCACTTGCCCGCAACTGCGGCCATCACCAACGCTGCCCCTCGAAGCTCCACGGAGAGCGCTCGGCAGGTCGCCCGCTCGAGCCCCACTCGACTTCACGCTGAGGAGGCGAGCCCTCAGGGGCATTGTCCGCAACTGCGGCATGATCAGAGGGCCACCACTGCGCGCCATCAGCGCCCCATTCGCTCGAGCTCCAGTCCCACCAGGACCAGCCCTGCCATCTCGTGGCGGGACTGCGCGCCTCCCATGCGCCGCTGCCGCTGGCGTCCCAGGACCCAGCCGCCACTGCGGCCCAAGAAGGGGTCGCATCGTCGCCGTTGGCAGCTTGCGGCGGTGGCGTGTTCCCAGCTCGCTCAGCCCCAGCGTCTCTCCCCGCAACTGCGGTTCCCATCTGGGGTCGGACGCCCTTCCCCGCAACTGCGGTGTCCGCGTAGCTGCCCTTCTTGCCGCCCTTCTTGCCGCCCTTCCTGCCGCCCTTCCTGCGTTCCAACCTCGCGGCGAGTCTTTCAGGTGACCTGCGGCACGTATTGTGCGTGAAAGCCACCAGAGGGAAGTGCGCTCCGTGCCTCGCCCTGCCGAAGGCGCCATGCCATATCTTGTCGTCGAGGTTGCCCTGCTTCACTCTGAAGGGATGGCGCACCCAATCGTCGCGTTCCCTGCGCGCCATCCTTTGCTCGAACTCCGCAACTGCGGTCAAGGATTCGCCAGATGGCGTCAGGAAGGCGCGCATCTTGTTTTCAACGGGCTCAGCCTTGGGCACGTAAGTCTGAAGCATCTTCCCAGGGCCATTCGTGTAGTCGAAGACAGGGAAAGACGGATCATGCTGGGTCGTCAAGAATCCGCCCTCACGGTCGTGCAGAACACCCAGGCCATGGTGAAGCTTGTACTGCCCAGGACAGTTTATGAACAAAATCGCCATGCTGTCTGCCCTGGGCTGGCCGCCTGCTGTCTTCCAGGGGGTCCACGCGGCGACGTCCACAGTCAGGCCGCAATTGCGGCACCAGGACACAAGCTGGAACATGCACATGTTGAAGTCCCCCATGCAGACCTTCACGTCCCATTCCCTGACGTAGGCGACGAACCAGTTGTAGAACTCATGGAGCTTCGTGACGCCCCAGTCTTGGTTGGCCAAGCTGTGGTGGACGTGCACCGCCATGACGTTGAAGGAGCCCCCCAAATGGGTCACGGCCTGGTCCAGGTGGACGCGCACCACCATCGCCCTGGAGTACTTGTTGTGCAGCTTTGGCGCAGGAGCCTCCGCAACTGCGGACTGTTTCTTCTTCTTCTTCGTTTTGGACTTCTCCTGCTTGTGGAAGAGTCTCGCAAAGTCTACGTGTTCAATGTGGCCGCCACTGCGGTCCCTCATGCCAACAAGGAGGGTCCCTGATGGCTCGCCGCCCTTAACGCACAGGTAGTTGTATTGAGTCCGACTCCGAAACCTATCGTCCGCAACTGCGGCTGCACTGTCCCTCGCGTCGTGCTCCCCACTGAGTACCGCGCAGGTCTCGTCGTCGCACTCGCAGAGGGCGATGATCTGGGCAGGGTTCGCGCGGAGCTGCGCCCACTCGTCCGCGCGTTGCGTGGGTCTAGCTGCAGTCCCTCCGAAGTTGGCCACGTAGAAGCCGACCCGTCCCGCTTCGAACTCCGTTTTCTCCTCCCATGCGTCGACAAGAGCTCTTTGTTTTTCCGACAGATTGCTTGTCTCGATGATGGGCACCCGTTTCCAGGTTCTCCGCGACGACAACACTCTCGGCATGTAGGAGTCATGTGCTGCCGCAACTGCGGCTCCCGCACCTCCCTGGGACTCAGCCTCGTCAGCGGAGGCAGCCGAGGACGCGACGGTGCTGTCGCCATCTTGCGTCCGCTGGTCGTCGTCATCATCCGCAACTGCGGCTTCCTCGTCTTTGCCTCCCTCCTCCTCCTCAGCGTTGTGGATGAACACCGTTCTGGCGAATCGAGGTCCACGGTCCATACTCCCTGAGGATGCGCTCGGGCGCGCGGGCGGCCACATGCTTGCGTCTTCGCGTGCGCCACCTCGAGCCACGGTGGCTACGGAAATGGATCGTGAATGGGCATGGGGTCGGATGGAGGGAGGAGACAAAGAGGATTCGAGGAGTGGCAGAAGGAGGGCGAGGACTCAAAGGAACCGAAAGAACAACAAATGGACTGGCGGAGAAGCAGAAGGAGGGCGACGATTGCAAGGGACTGTGATAGGATTATTTTCACAGCAGCAGGAAGACCGCAACTGCGGTTTTGCCTCATCTCCTGCCCGCGCGGGAGCCGCTTGGAAAAAACAACTTCCCTCTGGACTTCCTGTGGGTCCGCAACTGCGGCCTGCATCACGCTAGGGCTGGGATTACCAGCGCCATTTGCCCTCCCAGGGTTCTCACTGTTTCCGAATGCACGAACTGCGACAGCGCCGAACGGTTCCCAGACGCCGCGTCGTTCGCGACTTTTTGCAGCCACCCAGCAAACGTGAGCGGCCATTGCTCCTTGTGCTGCTTGCACATCTCCTCGTCCCAATGCGTCTTGAACCATGCCCACTCCCCCCTCTGCTCGTCTGAGAGGACGCCTTTTCCGCGAGCCAGGCGATCCAGAGCTGCCATCCTGTTTTTCTTGATCTTGAACTCCTCGGGATTCCACTGCGCTAGGGCGTGTTTGTTAGCCAAAGCCGTTTCCACCGCAACTGCGGCCTCCTTCTTTGCCCTCAAGGCGGCCTCGGCCTCTCGAATCTGCTTCTTGAGATCGTGCAACGCCTTCGTCCTGTCGTTCGCTTCCAGAGCCAGGCGCCGCTTTTTCGCCACCACTGCGGCTTCGTGGTCTCGCTGGGCAGTCAACGCTCGTAGGACCTCGTTGTCCTCCCGCGCCAGCTCTCTCAACCGCTTCTTTTGTTTGTGTCGTTGCTGTCGGCAATCCTGCGCTAGTTTCTCCATGCCCACTTGGCGCAGCATATCTTCCGCCTCGCGGAGCGTTTCTGCCAAGGACGTCGCCACTGCCACCTGCTCGGCCGCCTCTGCGTCGACCACGCAGTCCATGGATACCGAGGATCCTTGAGGCCCAGGTGCCGCAACTGCGGCATCGCACTGTTCCGCAAGAGCCTCGGCCCACGAGGCCTCCTCTTGCTCTTCGTCCTCCTCGTGCTCCTCGTGCACCTCCTCCTCCTCCTCCTCCCCGCCCTCCTCATCGCCCTCCTCGTGGCCTGGCTCCTGGCCTAGCGCTTCGTCGCCGAGCTTCTCCAACACGGAATCTGTGGCGTCGTGTTTCTCGTATTCGTGTATGAGACGCAGCACGTCATTGTAGGACCATTTCAAACGTTTCTGCTCGCATTCTTCCCTCACCTCCGCGACTGCGGTGTCCACTTTTGCTCGCAGCCCCCCTGCTTCCCAGAGTTCCGCCGCCTCTCGGCAAATCTCGAGATCTCCTGACTTGTCGAAGGGCGCTCGAATTCCCACTTTCAGGAAACCTTTCGCGGCGTCCAAGTGCAACTGCACATTCTCCAA